TTAAATTTTTATTTAGTTACCGAAAATATTAAAAACATCAAATACGTCCAATCTTTAGTAAAGTCCGAAAAAAACCAGACAGACAGGATTTTATAACCATATTAATTGTAACTACGCCGTGCAAGATTTTTAAATTAATTTATGCACCTCTCAAATACCTTTGAGGCTTTTCTCGCTTGTGTCCATTGATAAAACAAAAATGAGACAGTTTGATGACTTCTACCTTCTCTTAGAGGACTTACACCACCTGATGGATATACTATAATAGATTGACGACAGAAGCCTGTGGTTGTATATAACACATTTAATGGGTCTAACTACCTCATGATGGTAATACACCGAGAGGACGAGAGGAAGTACACAAGGGACATCACTCAAGATAACAATATTATAAATATAACTAATACAGAAGAGTGAGTTCCCTTGACCTCACAATTATTTCAATCTATTACATCCCTTTACCCTTAGAACACAATAACACATCTCTCAATAGAACAATTGATAGTATCCTAAAATCACCAATTATATTGTAACATGAACACTATGGTAGATTACATCTTTACAAACAATGCACAATATGCTACAACATAATCAAAATACAAAACAATGATGTCAAAGTCCTTTTGACCTTTAGAATCATAGGTCTAACTTATTTGGGACTTTGATTGTCCTGTTTGACCTTCTCAGTGGCTTCTGATTTGGTGACTCAAGATTCTGACCATCTGGATTCTCTATCTCAGGAGGTCTAGGATTTAAATCATTAACTCCAGAATTTACATTTTCTGACTCCAGACAACTTGGTTCACTCATATCAACAGAACTTGGTTGTAGAACAAACTGAGTTGGTGTGAACTGATCAGACTTGGTGGGATTGACAGATTCACACTTATTATCTGCACAAGTTATTTTTAACTGGTCTGCATGTCTACGGACAATAAGTCCATCATTTGTTTTTACTTTATAAGACACAGGTCCTGTACATTGAACAATTTGACCTGGTATCCATTTTTCCTTTCTCCCATAATTTCTCAGATACACATTATCATTAACTGCAAATTCTCTTTCAATGGATGATTTGTCATGATTTACTTTTTGTGTATGTTGATGTTGGGAAACAGACCTTTGAACAGTTGGATGTAGTAGGTCAAGATGAGTTTTAATTTTCCTACCACATAGCAATTCACATGGTGCAACACCTGTTGTTATATGAGGAGTTGTGCGGTATTTGGTTAAGAACCTGTTTACTCTTTCTCTAAGAGAAAACTTGTTACCGGTATTCATTTTTACCATAGCGGTTTTGAATATGCCTACCGCTCTTTCAGCCAAACCATTCCCAGCAGGATGATAGGGGGATGTGGTTATATGCTCAATACCATTTGCCACACAAAACAGTTTAAACTCATGAGCTGTGAAACTAGGCCCATTATCTGAAACAATTTGATCTGGTAATCCATGAGTTGAAAATATTTCCTTAAGTTCTATAATGGTATCATTTGCAGTGATTGTGTTCATGATTTTAACTTCTAACCATTTAGAATGTGAATCAATAACAATTAAGAACATTTTGTTCATGAAAGGTCCTGCGAAATCTATATGTATACGTTTCCATGGTTCAATTGGCCAGTCCCAGTTTTGCAAAGGTGCTGTAGCTGGTTGGTTTGAATGTTGTGCACAGCTTGAACAAAGTTTTACATATTTTTCAATATCAGCATCCATATGTGGCCACCAGAACCATGATCTTGCTAGACTCTTCATTTTGGAAGAACCAAGATGAGTATCATGTAAAGTTCTTAAAACTTCTTTTTGTAACATTTTGGGGATAATTACTCTTGACCCCCATAGTATACATCCATCTTCTAGACTTAACTCTGTTTTTCTTATTTTATATGGCTTTAAGTCCTCATTCACTGACTCTTCAGGCCAACCATTCTTACAGTACTCATATACTTTTATTAAGCACTCATCTTTTTGTGTTTCTCTCTTAATATCATTCACATTTATATTGGAGTTATCCATGATAGTGAAGAGAACAAAAACATCTTCTGGTACATAGCTCAGGCTTTGGTTTTTGAAGGTAATCTACTAAGACTATCTGCACTATTCTCAGATCCAGGTTTGTATTTCAATTCATAATTGTATGCAGTTAGTGTGATAGCCCATCTTTGAATTCTTGGTGAGGCATGCTCAGGTAGGGTTTTGTTTTCTCCAAATAAACCTAGCAATGGTTTATGATCTGTAAAGATGGTGAACTTCCTACCAAACAGAAACTTATGAAATTTCTTAACACCAAAAATGATGCCTAAGCCTTCCCTATCTAACTGAGAATAATTTTTCTCAGCCTGATTCAAAGATCTACTGGCAAAAGCAATGGGTCTGTCACCCTTCTCATCCATGTGGGACAAGACTGCTCCTACACCATCTGGTGAAGCATCACATGTTAATATAAGTCTTTTCCCTGGGTCATAGTGAGTTAGTAAGGTGTCAGAAGACAAAGCCTCTTTTGCTGTATTAAAAGCAGCTTCTTGTTGTTTACCCCAGTGCCAAGTTGCATTTTTCTGTAGCAGCTTGTACAGTGGTGATAATTTACCAGACAGATTTCCTATGAACTTTGCATAGTAATTTATCAAGCCCAAAAAAGCTCTTAGTTGTTGGGTATTTTCAGGTTTGGGTGCTTCTTTAATGGCTTTTGTTTTCTCAGGTTGAGGTCTGATACCTTGCTTGCTTAATATATAACCAAGAAAACTAATTTCTGTCAGCATGAATTGACATTTATCTTTGTTTATCTTTAAACCTTTTTCACCAACAATTTTTAATACTTTATCAAGTGTTTTAAGATGTTCAGTGTCATTCTTACCAGTTATGTACACATTGTCAAAATACACACAAACATTTGGAATGTCCTTAAAAATACTGTCCATGACAGCTTGGAAAATTCCAGGGCTAGATGATATGCCAAAACATAGTCTTTCATATTGGTAGAGTCCTTTATGTGTGTTTATTGTCGTATAGACTTTTGAATTTGGATGCAGTTCTAGTTGAGTGTAAGCATGACTAAAGTCTAATTCAGTGAATTTGTCTCCTCCTGCCAAATTCAAAGAAATTTCCTCAATGTTAGGTATAGGGTACCTATTTAGCTCTATTTGCTTATTCAGTGTAGTTTTATAATCTCCACAAATTCTTATAGAACCATCCTTCTTTAACACTGGCACAATGGGTGTCGCCCAATCGGAATAGTCTACCTTCTTTATAATGCCATTAGATTCCAATCTACTTAGCTCATTTTCAATTTTATTCCTCATTGCATAAGGTGGAACTCTAGCTTTGCAGTATCTTGGATTTGTATCTTTAATGCTTAACTTCACTGTTCTATCATTTAGTAATCCATGATTACCAAAAACACATTTATTTTCAGATATTACTTTATCTAGTGAAGTAAGACTAGATTCTTTTACATTCTTCAATGAACAAATACTCTCCCAATTTAACTTAAGATCACTTAACCAGTTCCTACCTAGTAATGGCGGTCCATTTCCTTCAACCACAAGAAGAGGAAGTTTAACACTTTGACCATTATAACTTACATGAACCATACACTCTCCTATTACCGGAACATTGTCACCAGTGTATGTTGTTAGACACTTGTGACACGGCTGTAGAGGCACTGATCCTCCTGTGACAGCGTCAAAATCTTTCTTTGTTATGACTGTTAGAGATGCTCCAGTGTCAAGTTGGAAGCTGATGCTCTTACCGTTGATATAAATTGGTACATTGATGGGAGCATGACTTATTGATTTCACAGAGAACAGGTTGAAATCCGGTTGCGAATCAGTTTGAGCATTTTCACAGGTAGAGTGGTTCATTGGTTGGGTTAGGTAGTCTTGGTGAGAGTTAACATAGTGCTGCCTTTGGTTGCGGTACTGTCTTGACTGGCTAGATTTAGCAACAGACGAAGACTTTGCAAAGCAGGCCTTGGCAATGTGACCTTGCTTACCGCACTTATAACAAGTTGCTAACTTGAACTTGCACCGATGAGATGCATGGGGACCTTTGCATCGATGACATTTTTGATAATTATTACTAGATTTAGATCTAGGATTTGAACGAGCAGGCTGTTTAGCATAAATTGGAATGCTCTGATGGGGTTGGTGTTTATTGACTAACCTGCTGTTTACTGCATGGATCCCTGAAGGCGTTAGAGATTTCGCCGCATCTGATGACTGCTGGTATGAAGTTGCAAGTTGTATTGCTTTTTCCAATTTTAGATCTGACTCGAGCAGCAACTTTCTTTGAATATCAGGGCTGTTTACACCTGTCACAAACTTTTCACATAGTCTGTCAGACAGCTTATCGCCGAATTCACAAAATCTACTTAAATGACGTAAAGCAGCAACATATTCTGATATTGACTCGTTTGGTTGACGAGTCCTACTGTCAAATCTAGCTCTACATAGAAACTTTGATGGGGTAGGCGCATGGTGGTCTGTTAGCAATTTGCTCAGCTCGTTAAAGCTCTTGGTATCTGGACTAGCTGGTGCGCATAAGTCCTTTAGTAGCCTGAATTGTTGAGGCCCTATGACTGTTAACAAAACAGCTCTCTTTTTGGCTTCTATCGTCACGTCGTTAGCTTCTAGGTAAAAGCTTAACCTCTCTAGGTAATCTTGAATGATTTCATCATTCGCATCAAATTCTTTTATTTGGCCATAGAGCGCCATAATTCTAGAAATAATTAGCTAATAAGCTCTAGCAAACCTCTTTTTTGCGTAAGTAGGTGCTCTTTCTAGTAGATGTTTATCCTTCGTCGCCAGTTATAATAGATTGACGACAGAAGCCTGTGGTTGTATATAACACATTTAATGGGTCTAACTACCTCATGATGGTAATACACCGAGAGGACGAGAGGAAGTACACAAGGGACATCACTCAAGATAACAATATTATAAATATAACTAATACAGAAGAGTGAGTTCCCTTGACCTCACAATTATTTCAATCTATTACATATACCTTTTATAATAACTTACATAGTTCCTCATATGGATTTATTGCCCATCAACAATAATGAAAACTACAATAGAGCCCTTTCTACAGCTAGACCAAGTTTGAAAATTTTGATTCAGCGCAAAGGTAAACTTTAGTTTTATTTTAGCTATTTTAAGCTTTTGTTTGGGTACCCCTAACTTAAAGTAGAAATGTATTGCCTAATTCCAAGATTTTTAAGGGATAAAATTGTTCATTTCATGATTTATGGGGTAAATTTTTATTATCGGTTTCAGTTGCAGGATAAGGGGTCGACGTGGTCGAGTCGGTAAAGCTCATGGTTGCTAAACCGAAAAGTCTCGAGTTCGAACCCTCGGGCAGATGAGGCTCGTTAGCTGGGGACAGCCACTCTTCTAGGAGAGACAACTCCAAAAATTAAACAACTGCTGCCTTGTAGTTTGTTCTTGGTTGGACAAAGGCTATGGAAGCAAATCCAAAAAGAAAAGCAGGCTGAAATCGGAGTCAATGGCCTCAATGGCGCATAACCAGTTGACATGTAACGCTTAATTGTGTAGGAGGCGTGGTCGAGTCGGCAAAAAGTTCATGGTTGATAAATTCGAAAAGTCTCAATTTCAAACCCACTTGCAGATAAATCTCGATCCCCTTCAACACTAATAATTAAGAACGAAGAAGAAGAAAGAAGAAGTTGCAGGATTTTGTAAAATGTTTTCCCCTAATTTATTTGTCCATTTTATTTAAAATTTTGAAGCAACAAAGATTGGAAATGCCATGAGCACGACAGTGGCAATAGGTCTAGCTTAACATTCATGTGATAGACAATGGTCATTTGGGGGAGTGGTCAAGCCCACTCATTGATTTGCTTGATATTTAAATTACAATATAATAATTACTTAACTTACACAATGAAAAAAAATTATTTATTTAAATAAAAGTAATTTTTTAGTCTGAAAATAATATGATGTTTGGGGGGGGGGGGGGGGTTAATAGTGGGTTGCCTTTGCTTTTGGCAAGTAAATGTACAAAAACTGTAAACAATACTGGTACAAGTTAGCGAATTGTTACAGAGAATGGATATTGCTTTGGTCATATTCTGCTCTACATGCTATTATTATCCAGCCTGAAATTAAAATTTTTGTTATGGTATATTAAACATTTAATTTTCTTTAGTTGTTTTCTGCTTCTTAGATAGGTACACATTATTTAATTTAAGCTTTGTTTCTCATTTATCAAAATGTATTTACTATTTAATTCCTCTAGGTGAATGCTATGGAGAGCTAAATGGCTATGGATCTCAGCCAGTAAGGAAAAGAAATCCCATATCCAAGCTGATAAGTTCAGAGACTTCCCCACGTCCCCGCATACAGATTAGTCTCCTGGAAGATTTCAGGCGTGTTTCAGCCATTATTGACGTGGACATAGTGCCTGAGACACACAGGAGAGTCAAGTTGATGAAGAATGGATCAGATAAACCTTTGGGATTTTACATAAGAGATGGGACTAGTGTCAGAGTCACACCTCATGGTCTAGAGAAGGTTTTGATTTTTTCTTGAACTCCTTAATCATTGTTCATTTCTTGAACTCCTTAATCATTGTTCATTTCTTGCTCCCCTAGTGTTATAAAACTCTTTAAAATAGTAAATGGGTGGGCTATTAAAAACATTCTTTAATAACTGTTACATCAATTTTTTTTTACCAAAAGAGAAAGGGGCAGTGATAATAAAAAATGTATTTTTTTAATTGCTTTTAGTTAATCAAAGAAAGTCTTTGTCATATGGTAATAGCTAAGCAATTTCTATCTTTGGTGCTATTCACAAGTCTACACAATTCTTTTTTAAATTGAAGATCACAGCTATTTCCTTCTAAATTATGCAGTTCCTCATAAAATATTATGTCCAGCAGCTATGTACCAATAAACCGGGAGTGATCTCCCCTAAACTTTCTCGAATATTCTTATATAAAATAACAGGGGATGGGAACTCGGGCTGTAGACATGATTTTTAATCCATTTTAAATACTTTAACTTTTAAACATAGAATAAAATCTCGTAGACAAATTAATTGCACACCAAGTGAACACCAAATAAAAAAGCGCATAATGGTGCGCAATATTATTAGTACTTTTAACATTTACATTAGTTTTTTGAGAAATCGGAAGTAGCGTAAATTACTACTTCCAGTCAACGGAAATTACTCAAAATTTAACAGAAGGTAGAGAATTAGATCTTTTACTTACATGTGAAATTTCATTTATCTATCTGAAATAGTACTCAAGTTATAGGCTTTTGAAAAATTCAAAGTAGGAAAAGTACCACTTCCGGTTATCGGAAATCGCTCAAAAGTTGATACGGATCTACGATTTTGATAAAATACTTATATATGAAATTTCATCAACCTAGCTGTAACGGTACTCAAGTTATGGTGTTTACACACGGACACACACACACACACACACACACACACACACACACACACACACACACGGACACACAGACATACGGACAAGATTGCAAAATTATGTTTTTCCGTATCAGTGAGATGTAAAACGTCGAGATTTGCAAAAATCTCGATTTTTTTTTTTGCACGATTACAAGACTTTCTCTATACTTCGTATATACGAGAAAGTAAAAAGTTGTAAAACGTTTATTAATGTATTTAGTAGTAGAAATATTATAATTTGTGTTCTTTGTCTTTAATGATCATTGTAAAATCAGAAAAACTTATTTAATAAGAAATCAATAAGACTTTATGCAACATTTAACCAGTTGATGTTTATATTTTTGAAAATATATTTGATTTAAACAAATTATCTAATTAAATTAGTTTTGGGTAATATCCAGTAAATATAAATTTTATAGTTAGTTACCGAGACACACATATTGAATTCTCAAACAGAAACACAAGTTAGGAATTATATGGGTTGTATGAAAACGTTTTTTAAGGATTTGTTTTTCACTTTCAATATTTGAACACAAGTTTTAAATAAATTTTAAAAGTTTTTGTATATAATTTTGTTATATAATATCACATTTAAAAAGTGTATTACACATACGTATTCTGTTCTAATTTTTAATAACATTTTTCAGGTAAATGTGGTCCTAACATGCCTAGAAAGAATGCCAGAAACAAAAGAAAAAACGGACATCAATCCAATCCAACATTGTGTCAGAGCTCTAAAAGAAGGCATCTACCTTCAGAGCCTCCAGGTTGCCAGCCAAACAGCACATCGCTTGTATTAGGGTCCCCATCACATTTCTGCCCAGAGTTAACTAGAGATGGGACAAAACACAGCGGTGTAAATGCTTCAGCTTCTGGTAGTGATATCCTACACTTGATAGAGCAAGCTGCCCAATCTGGCTCACCTAAAGAAATGATTGAATGTTTTAATCAACTGATACACACAGACAACAACGTTAACCAAGAAAGTTAGGACCAAGGTCAGATTTTGTCTTGTAGGTATGGTAGAGAGTTTTTGGTAAAGATTCTGATATTTTGTGGCGCTAATATAGAGACGAGAGACGAAGATGACAACACACCACTTTTGAAATGTGCTGAGAAAGGTTTCACTGACATAGCTCTGTTACTGGTTGATAAAGGCGCTGATATCAACAGTTACAACAAAGACGGTGACACGGCACTTTTACTTTCTATTCAAGCATCCGGGTCCTCTGAGCTGGTTCGAAGACTTCTTGACAATGACAAACGCGATTTAAAAATAAATCATAAAAATAAAAATGGGTGTGATGCTTTGATGAAAGCCATTGGAGTTTTGAACTTGCCATTGATAAACACCATAATAAAAAAAACAAACTGATGTAAAAGCTTGTCCCGATGTTTCTGTGTCAAACAGTGCTTGTCAACTAGCTGAAAGCTTAGGGCTTAAATCCTTACTATTTATTTTCGACCAACAGACACAAAATAGGAAAACAGCTTTACAAAATGCAGTTTCAATGAAAGACAAATACTTTATCAAACTTTTATTAGCTTGTCGTGTCGTTGTCTTCAGTGATAGCTATGGAGAAGTTAATAATATTGTTTTTGAATTTTTAGATTCAATACTAGACAGTAAACAAGAAATAACAGAAGACGATTTGGATATAGTTCAGATTCTTCTTAAGGCTGGAGCTCCTCTAAAATCTAACTACTATTACAATGGTTCAGAAAGCGTATTAAATTTAAGCATAAGGACGGGCTGCTATGATTTAGTAGAAATGATTTGTCGTCACATCGCAGATGTAAACAATCAATATCCCTTGGAAGTAGCTGCTGAGATTGGAAGATGTGACATTATAGACTTGCTGCTTGACCATGGAGCAACGATCAGTAAAGAATCATGCCCAGCACTGCAGTCTGCGATTGTGCATGAGCAATTAGATTGTGCAGAATTTCTGATAAAACGTGGTGCTAAAATAGATGCTTCTGCGGTACTGACATCTATTGTCGGAGGAAATAAGATTGAATCGCTTGTGTTTGTAATTGAACAATTTAAGTCAGATGTTAGTTCTCAGATAAGGCTAAAAGGAACCCAATTATTAAACATTGCTGCAGAAAAGGGGTATAAGGAGATAATAAGACTACTAATGCAAGAAGGCGCCAATGTTAATGCAAGTCATGATTATAAATCACCTTTAATGTCAGCTACAGATCCTAATGTTATGGAACTGTTGATCAAATTAGGCGCCGACGTGAATGTCACTTTTGAAACATATGGAACATCATACTCAAATCTAACTTCTATAGTGAACGACAGTGAAATGGTATGTAATAATGATATTCTGCTAGAAAGAATAAACATCCTCCTTCAAAATGAAGCTAATGTGAATGTGGAAGACAAAGCAGGCAACACTCCATTAATGGTAGCTTCAAAAAGATTAGACAAAAAAGAGGTAATGCGTGCTCTGCTACAAGCTGGGGCGGATACTAATAAACGAAATAACAACGGTGATAGTGCATTACATTTCGCTACAAATGGTGAGTCTATCGAAAGTGCTAAAGTTCTGTTGGAGTTTAAGGCAGATATCAATTTAAAAAACAACACAGGACAGACACCTTTATTCAGTTTGTTGCCAAGATCATATATGCAAATGATAGAGTTTATGCTAGAAAATAAAGCGAATGTAAATGATGCTGATACCCAAGGCGACACTCCTTTGCTGTATGTGTAAGCCCTGCTAGGGGGGGATACCTTAAAATCTATCTTACCCTTCCCTAGGCTTATCTATTACTACCGTCCGGTCAGTGCAAGCCCGGCTAAACCCAGACTGGTTAATAACCTAACCTTAGTCTAAATAATGAAAACAAAAAAACTTTAACAATAATATAAAATTTATTTAACAAAATAAGGAACCAAAAGTTATAAAAAAAGAATAGATAAAAACTGACACAAAACAGAACCAAACGAAACAAACTTTTTACATCAAACAAAACAATTCATATATAACAAAACACCCAGCCAAGTTGCCCAAGCAACCTCACTGGAAGGGGGGGGGGGAAGAGAAAAAGAAAAGGGAAACATAAGAAAAATGCATGGTAATGGCAGATATATACATAAATATATACACAAGTTCAAAATACTACCTACTACTTCTATCTAGCTAAAGCCTCGAGTAAAACTAATCCCTACTATTACAATTCTAAAGCAATTCTCAAAAACACAACTAACCACTGTCTAACCAAGAAACTAGCAACTTAAAAATAACGTGTAAACAAATACATCGTAGAACCAATCTTTCCTACACAAGGAAGCCCGAAGCCATTGGTTTACATAAACAACATCTATATTGATAACATTAAGTTAACACACTCCGCTAAGGCCCCAATGAAGGCAGACACAAAGCAAGCGATACTCAACATGACGTTGCACGAAACAGCACACATTAATTTTAAACAACCTAAAACTCGAGGCAACTAAAATATACTAATCTAATTACTGTCTAAAACAACTGACTATTGACTAAGCCAATCCTAGTCAATAACACATCATAAAACAATCAAGTAAATGCACACACGCATTCACACTAGTTTAGGAAACACTCCTAAACACACTGGCCTAAACCACGTGGTCCGAAACACACACCACGGGTTTAGAAAACATTACAAATACATTTTAACAAAATAACACACCACGTGCATACCAGACATGCCGATGCTCACTATCTCGTTTTAGACGAAAATGAAAGAAAACGAGAAACATTCATACAAATCACTTAAAGATAAAGTATAAAAAAACAAATACCTCCACGCGTGAGGTGCGCCACGCGCCCACACAGAAACCTGACCCGACCTACATCTCGCCGCGGGTCAAAAAAGGAAGAAAATCGTCCGAGCGGCCAATTTATACTGACCGCTTCGAGCGGAAGGGGACCCCGTGGCCGTTCCCCATTGGACCACCATGCACTCCCAGATTCGCAACAAATAAAATAATACAAAATAATCCATTCACCCGCTCACATTTGTATGTTCTTCAAGATGCAACAATCGCAGTGAAGTCGTGAGACTTCTAATAAAAGCAGGAGCTAGTGTCAACTGTCAAAACAGTGAAGGCTACACACCTCTGATGTTAGTTGCCAAACAACAAGACATCAAAACAATAAAAGTATTATGTGAGGCAGGTGCTGAAGTCAATTTAGTCAATGAAAAGAAAAATGAAACTGCTCTATCTGCACTTATAAGCAAAGGTCTCATTAAAGTGCTCGATACAGAACATGTTCTTTACCTAATAGAAAAAGGAGCCGACAGCTCATGTTTAAGTCCTGATATTATTCATCAATTAATTTTGTACAAGAAAGATGGTTGCTTAAAACTAATTATATCCCTTGGCTTAGGGCCAAAAGATGTTGATCTAGCCTGCGTTGGTGTACGTGGTTTAGCGAAAGGTTCGCCGCTCATTGCTTCTTTGTGCTGTGGTTTCATTAACATTGCTAGGTTTTTAAACGAGATTTGGTTCTTAACCCAGTCTGACATTTCAAGATTCGCTAGGACAATGGACACACAAACAAGAAAGGGATGGCATTTTCACCACGTACATCAGATACTGGTACACAAAATGTACATGTCCTGGAAGTGCTGGAGCTTATGGAGGTGTAGAAACTGGTTGCTGTGGGTTGGGTGTGAGTTATGTTCTTATCTTGATTGTCTTAGTATAATGATGTGTGACTCAAGTGAGAAAGTGAGTTCAGACTAGATAGTAAATGCGAGAGGCGATTTCAAGAGACATCCATATGGATGATAATTGTAAACGGAATCGTTTACATGTGAAGTATACAATTTGCAAGTGTTACTTGGCCAGCCAGCAAATCAACATAAGGCTAGAGGCTACACTTGGCCAGCCAGCCATTCAACAAGTGGCTACACTTGGCCAGCCAGCCAATCAACATAAGGCTAGAGTACACTTGGCCAGCCAGCCAATCAACATAAGGCTAGCCAAACAATCGAGTACTCACCTGTTTCCCATAGAAGTTTTGATCTCCCCTGAAGGATCCTCGTAAGCCAGTAAAGGAGAACATTGGAAGAGGTACAGGTATGGGTACATTGACACCCACCTCTGGAGGTTTGACATGATGCCATAGATTACTTTATTTGCTAAATGGCCACATGCCCCATTTACCTGGACCTGTTAGAATGGCCATTAAAAAACTGACCTGTCCAACATCAGATTCCATGGTGTATTTCCTGTGGCCCCGATATATATATATAATCGTTCTAGCCTGATCGGGTTTTGAAAGAAAAAAAGTTTTTATTTTTTTTAAATTTTCAACAAATAACGTGTCATGTGTATTAGTGCACTAGTTTGTTTTGAATTTATTTATTTTTTAAGATTTAGAACTAGTTAATTTAATGTTTGCTCTAATGCTGCATTATGCTGCCTACCCTCTAGCTTATAGCCGGTCAAAAGAATATAAAACGTGAAAGCTCTGTATGTGTATGGTTACTCTTGCTAAGTTTATTTTTTTTTGGATTTATATTATTTGTTTTAAATATATTTCTATTTTTACTTTCTCGTATATACGAAGTAGGCTATAGAGAAAGTATTGTAATCGTGCACAAAAATCATTTGAAATTTTAACAATTTTCACCGTATTACACCTCAGTCCTTCATCACATCCGTAGTATAGAGGACTTATTTTAATCGGGCAAAAATTATCAATCCAGATTTATCAAAATTAAGAGGTTTTATGCGTAATCCAGTCTGAAAAACTGGACTTTGCAATTCTGTCCGTATGTCTGTGTGTGTGTCTGTGTGTGTGTCTGTCCGTGTGTAAACACGATAACTTGAGTACCGTTACAGCTAGGTTGATGAAATTTCATATATAAGTATTTTATCAAAATCGTAGATCCGTATCAACTTTTGAGCGATTTCCGATAACCGGAAGTGGTACTTTTCCTACTTTGAATTTTTTAAAAGCCTATAACTTGAGTACTATTTCAGATAGATAAATGAAATTTCACATGTAAGTAAAAGATCTAATTCTCTACCTTCTGTTAAATTTTGAGTAATTTCCGTTGACTGGAAGTAGTAATTTACGCTACTTCCGATTTCTCAAAAAACTAATGTAAATTTTTAAAGTACTAATAATATTGCGCACTATTATACGCGTTTTTATTCGGCGTTTGCTTGGTGCGCAATGTTTTTTTTATGAGATTATATTCTATTTTTAAAAGTTTAAGTATTTAAAATGGATTAAAAATCATAACTATATCCCCAGTTACCATCCCCTGTTGTTTTATATAAGAATATTCGAGAAAGTTTAGGGGAGATCACTACCGGTTTATTTTTTAATGCTGTGATTCTTTAGTATGTATTTTTAAAAAAGAAATAATAATTAAGAAAACGTTCTTAAAGCTAAGGCTTTAAAATTTTGGACATTATTTTGTGTTACCAATAAATAGATTTCACTGTTAGTGATTAAAGTTGAATTACAAATGTATCAATATTATATGCTTGTGTGGCTAAAATGAAAATCGTATGTGGTTAATTTTGTGGCATTACGTCACTAATCTTTACACACATAAGCCACCAAGAATATAAAAAGAACATCCAAAAAATTCTTAGGTTTTGCTGCAAACGTCAGTAAAAGGTTACAATAAAATTTGAGTTATAAACAAATATTTTAGTATTACTTCCCTTTATCTTTAACAAAACTTTGTTAAGTTATAAGCTAAGGTTTTAAAATTTTAGTGATCATTTTAATGTTACCTATACATTTATCATTTAGTGTTTAAAGTCTATGTGGCTAGATTGATTGCCTGGTGTTGCTAATCTTTTAAACTGTTTTTTCTTTTCTGGCTTTGAAACACAATACACACTAGCGACACGTTCAACAACCGTCAGTAAAAAGATATTTTAAAAATTACAGTGATAAACACAAATTTTAGCATTAATTCCCTTTAACAAATCTTTTTTACTTTCTTAAAACTAAGGCTTTAAAATTTTGGAAACATAAAACAGGTGTACATGATGATTGTGAACAGTGGTGTACTGGAAAAAAGGACATGAGATAAAGCAAATAAGAATAAGCTGCCAAATTTGTAACAGATGAAATGAAAGCAGTATTTGAGTTCCTCTCATCCAATGCATTATTAGAGAAGTGTTTGCACAGCGGTACACAGAATGTGAATGAATCTTTTCACAATTTAATTTGGAAGAGGTGTCCAAAGACAGTCTTTGTAGGAAAAAAGAGGGTGGAAATAGCTGTTCATGATGCTACTTGTTATAACTGCTGAGTTCTCTATGTGTACAACAGTTATGCAGTGAGAGGGTTTACTTTACTTGACTCAGCCACTACCATTTGACTCCTCTCCAATACCAGGGAGAGAGTATTACACCTTGAGAACCCCTAGGTTATGTCACATTCAAATAGATCCACGACGAACAATCAGGAATAAAAGGAATCAAGTAATTCGTATATAAATCTTTTAATCTCGTATCTACAACCACACACGTCCTTCCACACCGACGATAAGGATTCAACTGCTCACACATCAACTCATAGCAACCAACTCTCTAACCTAAAACGTCACTATCTTTCGTACCGCGTCATCATACCCATGTGTTCACTATGTGTGCGCACCAACCTGTACTCAATTCAATACCTATAAAACATATATCATAACATTACCCCCCTCCCCATTTAAGCTAGTCCCATTAGCTTCGAACATTTTCACCAAGTCCAACTATGTCTACCAACATATCATCTTCAACATACTTTTAACCTAACAATATCAACTAGGTGCTATACATGAACATTCATTCTATTTCCCAATTCTTATAACTACATTACATTGTAATTTTACTCCCACACAATTTTCTTTTAATCACTCGCATTCAATTAATAGTTTCTCTTGAATTTCTCCCTCAGATAAGTATTCTTGGGTTTTCACACACTTCTCATCACTCTACTCTGCAATGTCCATCTCTTGACACCAGTAGCTATAAAAGAAAAATTATACCCAACACCCCATTAGTTTAGACCAACACAACTTGTGATGGCAAACAGAGCCCCCAGTGCCACCATTTAGTGGACATCTGTGGTTGTTCCCATCTTTACATACAATATCACTAATACATCTTAATCAACATGGCACTGGATCCCCCAGCTCCTGTAATAAAGTCCTATTAACACATGATATAACCATATCAACTCAGCATAAAGACTTCTCAACCTAGAAAAATAATCAATTCAGTAAATCATTATAGTACAACAAAATATTTCCACATCATGGATCAGGTAACCTTAAGATTCTCATCAACCTAGAGAAGTAAACATAGTCACATCAACACTTATTATATCAGAAGCAATCAAACCCCATCAAAGTGACTATAGACATCATAAGTTCATAACATTAATGTAATCATCATGCATCAACAAAAAGAACTTATCATATTATTACTTATCATTATCATAACAACTTTTATGTCAAAGCTTCATCAACCCACATCGTCATATATTAATCAACAAAACTCAGAGTACTTTCAACCAAGCACATCAACATATCAACATGTCTACATGTATATATATCATATCTTACAGAGTCTTTTCCTTGACGATTACCTCAGTAAAAAAAAATTCAATCACTAGCATCAGGCAAATTTGCTCTAAATATGTCAGCCCAAACACACTTTGGATCATTAATCTTTATAGTCTCAGTTCCATCAGCAGAAGTCACCAGAGCACACTGTAAATCATTCAATTCCCCATCTCCATCTCTAGCCATAAAACATTGTGCCTTACTTTGTTCTGTATCATCTTTCTTACTCCATTTTCTGTTTCTATTTCTATTCTGATTCCTATCTCCTATATTTACCTTAGTACTATCTACCTTGTCAGAGCCATCATACTTTATCAGACTGGTCAACTCATGTACTTTACTAACAAGTTTTCCTATTTCCTTTTCAAGGATGCTGATTTTGTTTTCTAAGTTCTGGACTTTACTACTTTCACTATAACCTCTTACCCCAGGAACATTTCCTATTGTCAAGCCATACGGGCCTTTCCTAAAAACCACAGCATCTACATATCCGGTAATCGGTTTTGATCTGACAAAAACTCTAGCCACAGGCCAACTATAGCTTCTACCTCCACACACATTTACACGCTTCCTTTTATTAGTGTACTGATGGGGTTTAACAAATTTATCTCTAACAGCAATAATGGAGGCACCAGTATCCCTAATTGTCACTGCGTTCATCCTATTCACAGAAGCTTTGAAAGTGTTCATCCCCTGACAATTTTTATTTAACACTGCTATGTATACACTATCCTGGTCTTGATTATAACTATTTCTCCCTGACTCTTGAAATTCTCTGCAATCTTTCCTCATATGCCCAGACCCATTACAACCAAAACATCTAACTTGTGGTCTAGTTCCTACCTCACCCCTAACTCTAACCCTATCAGGACAATTCCTCCCTAAATGACCTGTCTTTTGACAATTATAGCAATGAATGGTTTTATATGCTCCCTGGGAAACTACATTTGGACTTGCATTATTCCTTCTGATATTCTTGTTGTCTATCATTTTACTACAATTCCTTTCTACTCCCTGAGCTAAAAACATATGACCAAATTCTGTCTCTTTCCTAATGGTTTTATGTGGATGGGCAGCCTGATATTTTTGACATAGGTCAGTACATGCAGCTAAGGTTCTGGGTTTCCTTTCTTGGAGATAACCAAATAAATCTTTATGGACTGAGGTCAAAACCTTGTTTACTAGAATAAATTCCTTCAAATTTTCTACTGTTAACTCTAATCCTGAAGCATCATACCATTTGTCAAAACTTGTACTAGATATCTAATATTATTTGAAAAGATTTTGAAATCCTCTGTGTTTTCTGGTAATAATTCCTGAAATTTTACTCTGTAAGCTTCTTCTGTTAGGTGGTAATATTCTAACAAAGTCTTTTTGAGAATTCTATAGTCTTTCATCTCAGCTTCTGTTAAACCCTGGCATGCATCCAATCCCTTACCTCCTATCAATACCAATAACT